GAAATGTGTATATATTTTTAACATATCATTCTTTGAAAATGCGAAACATCCTAAATTGACCAAATAATCATCATAATTGAAAACATTTTTTCTTAAATATTACATGTGTACGATTTAAAAAAAAAATGGAATTTCGTGTAAAAATTTATTGTACATTTTTTACTTCTTACATCTATATCTATATTATGTAATACTTACGATTTTCAAATTCGGATTCTGGTTCTGGTTCCGGTACACGTACTGGATTTACCAAAATGTCTAATTCGTTTCTGGTTACTATAATCAAAAATTCAAGTGAAATGTAATATCATGACATTAATTTTTATAAATTATTCGAATTAATTTGAATAATTTTTAATTAATAGCCACTTAATTTCTATATTATTAATTTTTATATTTTAATATATAAGTATCAAAAGTGCTAATTTTCTAGTTGACCATGTATATGTATATACCAATTCGTATGTATTTATATTCGAAATGAAGAAAGTATAAGTACTCACAAACATATTTAGCTATTGCATATTGATCATTTTGTATGTTCTTCCTTATACTTTTTAAAACATTATCTAATCTACACTCCATATTTCTCATTTGCTCAGGTCCGATTTTCTCCAGCAAATTATAATGATTATCCCAATAGAAATTTATTTTTCCTTTGCGGAAAGCATTGTGAAGTTCTTCTAACATCTATGAAAGCGTTACTACTTCATTATTATTTTAATAAACAAAAAAAATTGTATTTTAGCAATACGTTACCGTGAAGAATAAAAAAGTATATGATTTTTTTTCAGAAATATGAAATATTTCTTTTTTATTGTAACATAATGTTTCAAGATAATAACTTGCGATGCTGCTCCATTTTTGAGTATCCCTCAATTTCTAATAAAGAACATACATTATATATAAAATTATATAAAATTATAAGTTATTGCAATAAAAATAAAATAAAAATTAATACTACAAATAAATAAAAGTTTAATGTAACAAATATTCACTGAAAAAAATAAAAAAAAAAGAAAATTACATAGGGAACACCTATGATGTTAAATATAAAAGATAGACTAAATTTATTCGTATAAATAAATTGTTTATTATTCCACGATATACCTTTAATTGTCGTATTACAGGCTTCATAGACCCATAATTATGGCTACAAATCATGTCTCTTTCAAATTCGTAAAAACACAATCGCCAATAGCGATGTTGTGAATCATTAAAACCTTTACTGTTATCTAATGGTTTTGGAACTGTGAACCAACATCTATTCTCTGAAGCAGACTATTATAAAATAGAAAGCGATTAGAAACATGCTATTTAATTATTGAATTGCTATAAACAATTAGTTCTGCTCCATTAAGTTTTGTTTTAAAATATTATAGTATTGAGTTTAATAAATATAACTGTTAATTTGAACAAAGGTTAATTATTAAAAAGATTGAAGAAGAAAGATATAACATACAAATTTGCAACATTGCTGCAATATTTGTTATTGTAATACTATTGAAATGTGATTAGAACTTGCAGCGAAATATCAAAATATGGAAACGTAATGTCTAATATCTCGGAAAGTATGCATTTTTGAGAAAAATGTCTTAGATAAAAGTGATAGGGTTTAATAAGATGTATTTACTGATTTTATTGATTTAACCTTGGGTAACATCAACTTTGACTTGACCTTGACGATGTCATCCAAGATCAAATCAATAAAGACTGTTTCCATATTTTTGATATATTTTTAAATGCTCATTACTTGACTTCTAGAAGTTTCTTTCACCAACCTCGATTAAGTTAACATGGGGTTCATTTAGTCCAATTTCACAACTCATGGTTAACTTTTAACTTATTTTAATTTAACATATATAGAAATTTAGAACGAATTCTCATACATTTTGACTACATTTCGGTCGCATTCGGATAAATTTTTCTACCAGAGTTTGCTTCAATCTAGTATATTATAATTTTTTATTACGTACTTGTAATATCTCACATTTTGAACATCTTGGTGGCATAGTAATATGAGGTGAAAAAGCTAAAACAGGAACTACATCGATGTTGATAGTTCTTTCAGAAAGTGGGATTACAAGTGTAAACGCCGGTCCTGATTTTTTTATCTTTATCTAAACAAAGAAAAGATATGATATTAGTTATAAAGTATACTAACTTTAGCTTCTCTGTTATATTCACGATATAATATATTGCGCGACAATTTTAAATAGCCAAATATCGAGAATAATTTGCTCGTTTATTACAATCTCTGATATCAGTAAAAATCAAACAAAATATTTTTGAAAAAATATAATTTAATAGCAGATGACAATATTTGCTAGCAAATATCTCTAGATATTCTTCATCATCCAGTTAGAATATAGAAAAATATAGATAAGTATAGAACAAAAATTAATAATTTAATAATAAATAAATGTTATTATTTTAATGGTGATTAAGTAGACTATTCCGTTTATATTAATTCAATTATTTTTTAGTTACATTATATAGCCGGGAAAAATATTTTATATATAATTATATAAAATTATATGAAATTATATAGAGGAAAGTCACCGACATCGACATATTTCTTTGTTTTTATATTCTTCAATATTTCTTTAAATAAAAGATAAAAATAAAACTTTAAAAACATAAGTACAAACTAAAAAGTGTCTTCCATCAGATAGTATAAACAATTTTTAATACTATTTGTTTAATTTTGCAATATAATTAATTTTTTCATAAAATAAGCAAAAATGAGTCTGGGATTATTATGGGATCCAAAACTGATACAATAGGTAATGCTACGTATTCCTATTCTTTTACAGGAATTATTTGTGCCTACAAGTGAATAAGATATTCCAGAATCTTTTCATTTCATTATAAAAATTTTTATTGAATTATATTTATTTGTTCTGCAAGATGCAAATATGTAATAGCTTTTCAAGAGTTTTTCCATACATGTGATTGTCTTATATATTGTCAGCTCTTATAGAGCTATTTGATACTATAAAGTAATATTATAAAGATTAAGTTAGCTCACGATCTGTGTTTTACAGACAGGTGTCGCGGTTGGCACCCTAATTTTAAATTTTAAATTTGTATTGAAAAAACTAAGAAAAAAAATAACAAATGAAACTGATTTAGGAAATTATAAGCATTTAAAATGACATAATATTATCAATAATATATCACTATTATTTAAACTACGTAATTTGCAAAAGAAAATCGTAAGAATTTTATTTTTGTATTCATAGAATTCGTTTTTAGTATAGAAACAAGCCACAAATATATGAATTATGAGTTTTTTCTAATTAGCTAAACAGATCATGATTTTAATGTTAAAATGCAACAATTAGTTTCTGAAAAATAAAGGGATATCGTTTTAGTAGATCATATGTCAATATCGGCGATTTTCTTCTATGATGTTTTATATGTAATTATATAAAATTATATAAAATTATATAAAATTATACATATGTAATAATTTTATATATAATTATATATATAAAATATGTCCATTTATATATAATTATATAAAATTATGTATTTTTATATATTTTCATATAATTTTATATAATTACATATAAAACATTTTTTTCCCGGGTATATATACATATAGAGGTATATTAAATCAAACTTCTGTGTTCAAATGTTGGTTTACTATAAATTGATGCTAATTTATACTCTGATCAATTTTATTGCTAATCAAAAACTATACTCAAACTATAATTTTTTTTACTTACTGGTAAATAATCATTAAATGAAATTTCGTTATGTCCACTAGTAGTCCTGGCCACTTTACTGAGAATTCCTTCTATCCATGTACGGAATTTTTGTTGGTTCAAATATGATTGATCGTCGATCAAGGAATCTAATTGTCTGAATAAAAAATAATCTTCTTGTTTCTTTCATTTTATAAATTATATTGAATAGATTTCTATTAAATATAATATTTACCGATATGCTTTTGGATCCATATTTAAAGTATTGTATGAGTTACTATCTCTTTCAATGCGTATTTTAGTAAAACCAGGTCGATCTGTGTTAAACTAAAATATAATCAATGTTTCAGTTTAAGTATTAATTATAATATTAGTATTTATTTGCATCCATCTTATCCTAGGAAAATGCATTGAGAATCGATAAGAAAATATTCGTGTTATTTTATTCTACTGCAGAATTACATATATTTATTTTAATTACCTTTTTTATTATTTTATATGTATTAAAATTATGTTAGTTTTTAAATGTATATATATATATATATATATGTATGTAGATACATAATAAAACAATATCTATATAAATGTATAATACATGTATATAGAAGAAAAAGTAAAAGAATTACGAATACGAAATAATCGTAAACGATACTATTGCAGCAAATTAAGTTAAATAAGTTAACAATTATATTTATCATTTATAGAAATTTGTATTTAAAGAATATTGATCTTAAACTACAATATAATTAACATTTAAATGTTATTAATATAAACTATTAGGTGTTGGAATTAATTCGTAGCGTTTTTTAATGAAAGAATGTTATTTATTTCACATGAGCATTAAAAAATACATTAATGAAAGTACTTCCCATCACTTGTAAAACGCTACGAATTAATTCCAACACCTAATATAATTTTAAAACAAAATTGATTCAGCACTGTATCGTGTAGCGGCAGATAATTGAACGGTTTTTTTTTGGTAAAACTTTGTTTTTTTGTTTAAGATTATATTGATAATATAAATGTTATTAATAAATTAATGTAAATTATTATATTTTGAAACTACATAATTGGAGTTTTGAATGAAGACTTCTAATAATTGATAAATAATTGTCAACTTTATTTAATTTTCGTAGTTTCATAGTTTCCTCTACTCTCCTCTCTACTCTCCTCTATTTAAATTTAAAAAGTTAATTAATAATGTTAAATAATATACCAATTAATACAATTAAAAAGAAATAACTTTACACCAAATTAAATCAAAGATTAAACTAAAGAATTTTTCATAGTGAATTTTTATAAGTGATAACTGAAAATATTTTTGCGTTCTCTCTCTCTCTCTCTCTCTCTCTCTCTCTCTCTTAAACTTGTTTAATCTTCAGTAATAATTAATTTAAAAAATAATATTACCTTTAGATCTTTTTCTTTGAAGGGCAATTTGATTACAAAATTTAAATCGTATTCTTCTGGCTGGCCTACTCGAGTTCCTTTATAATAACTACCAGCCCACTCAATTTTTTGAAATGTTTTATTAAACAGCGGACATTGTTTTCGCATAGCGTTTTCTAATTCCTTAAAAAACTGCAGCATATATTACAATATATAAGAAATACTAATATAATTTAGGATATAGTTCCAATGAAATAAAAAGATTTTTATAATACCGGTTTCAAGAGCTCATTATTACGCTTTATGTCATCAGAAGGCATACTTATAAATCGTTTGTTTATTTTATTGAATACAGTATCACTGGACAGATACCTGCAAATATCTTCAACTTGCGTCATCGTTTATACAGTTTGCTGTGTAAATTTTAAAAATTTAAAATTATTTTAAAATTATATTTGTTAAAAAATTATTGTTAAAAGTAATACAGCAGGATAAAATATAATGTACAATAAATTAAATAAAATCTTTTAGAGCCGACACAGGTTATTAATATGTAAATATATATACTTTATTTAAAAATTAAAACATAAACGTTTCGATCCTGTTTTGAATCCTCTTCAATATAAATTGATAATTAAATCTTACACTAAGAAAACATAATTATTGAAATCGTCATAAGCAAAATATCAAGAAGTACTATATGGTCATACACTGAAATTAAACTGGTCAATTATTTTTTACGTCCACATCTTGTCAACGATTGTTTATCAAATTTCAATTAATTAAATAAATAAATAATAGTAATCAAATTATGAATCTGTGGTTAAAACCAATGTTAAATAAAATATGCACTTACATGAACAATGAGTAGATCGAACAATTTTTATTATACATCAAACAGTCTAATTTATTGTATCATACAACAAATTGATTTGAAATAATAATTAAAATCTCCTGAAACATTTATGTTTTTAAATAAAGTATGTACATATTAATAACCTGTGGCTCTAAAAGGCTTTATTTATTTATTTATTCATTAGAGCCTACTCGAATTATTTGATATAATATGTACCAATAATGTATAACTATCATATAATGTATCAATGTAAAACTCTCATAAATACAAAAGAATTGGTTTATATTTTAAATAAAATTGTGAAAAGCATTATATATAATTTAGATATATACAATTTAGATATAAAATAAATTTATAAAAATTAGATTTTAATTAAAAATGAAATATAATTTCAAAGTAAAATTGTGTAGTAATCTATCGCTTTCTATTTTGCGGAAGCATTCAAGAAAAATTTAAATCTTCTAGATATTTAAAATTTTTTCTTTTTTATTTATTTTTTATTTTTTCTTTTTTATAATTGAAACAATAAGATTGTAATAAATATTTTGCCATAAAATATTTAAATTGTATTACGTTAAATAAATGGGGGACTTATGTTGAACTCTTTCCATAATACAAATTTTCAAAGAAACTAATCAATTAATTTTATTATAAATGCATGCCACTATAAAAAGAAATGTGATTTATTCTTATCCCTACCCAGCAAACGAGAATGGATTAAAATGAATTGAAATTTTTTTTCTATCCGAATGCATATACTTTATACTTAAATAATGAATACTTTTTTTGGATTTAATTAGATTCAATTGGATTCAATTAGATTCAATTGGATGCAATTGGATTGAAAAACATTTCCTATTCAAGATTTTTAATTGAACAGTATTCACAATGTATTTGTGTGTGTGTGTGTGTGTTGTTTTGTGTATAGAAAAAGAAATATTATTTTTAGATTGAAAAGAAATATGCTCCATGCAATTTCTATAAATGAATAAAAATGCATTCAGAATTGAAAAGCATTCATTTTAATATTCGCGAATCAATATTTCTGAAAATCTGAATTCATTTCAATCCATTTTCGTTTGCTGAGTATTTTTTAAACACTTAAAGATGTTTCAGTTTTAAACTTTTTCAATAGACAAAACACTACTGTTTGAATTTAAATGCAATGCGTTTTAAATCCAAATCCACGTAGTGTTTTGTCTATTGAAAAAGTTTAAAATTAAAACATCTTTAAATGTTTAAAAAATGAAGACAAAAAACATTTTAATATCTTAAAATTAAACACTTCTTTTTTCAATGTGTGCAATTTTATTGTCACGTTTATATTTGATATAATTATTATTTGATAAAGCATTTTTGAGACATCCTTATTCCTTGATGGTGCACTCCAGTATACATACAGGGTGGGCCATCTATTGGTACGTTTTTGAATTTCGTCGTATGGCAACACCGAACGAGCTACAGACCCGAAATTTTGACAGTTTATTAGTCATACCGTCCGCGGCACGAAACAACATGTTTTCTCTTGAAGAGCGTTTTGAAATTTTAAAAACTTATTTTCAAAGTCAGTGCTGTGTCGCCGAAACTGTACGAATTTTGAAAAGAAATATGGGTCGTGATAGAGCACCCACCGAAGGAGCTATACGCAAATTGGTGAGGAAAGTTCGTGAGAAAGGATGTTAGTGGATGACATTATATTACGACTGTTTTGAGTGAAATTGGCGCCGAGGTAGTCCAAAATGTCATTAATAATTGGGGTGACCGAATGGCATACTGTAAGGCCAGTAGAGGGAGCCACATGAACGAAATCGTTTTTCATTCTTGACGCGGATACTTTTAGCTTCACAACAAAAAAAAAATTAATAAAAAATATCAATGTATGCTCATTTGATCGCATTTTTAAAAACGTACCAATAGATGGCCCACCCTGTATTATAGAACTCACTAATATAGTCGTTTGTGTGCTATCTATTTATGCTAATCATAACGGAATGCGAGTAATATAATAATTGATATCATATAACTTCTGCTAGTTAGACACTTTTTTTTTCATCTGCTTTCTTTTATTTAGCAGTTTTATATTATACTGCGCAATATTTATTATTAAAAAATATAAAAAAGAACAAAAAATTTTTTATCAGCCTGTAACGAAAATAATTTAATCATCTCTCTTAAAATTGATTTTTTTTAATTAAAAACACACAGATGCTTTCTGAAATTTTCTTCAATAGTCGTTTGCACGGTACACCGATAATAATGAATTTGTAATCACTTAATTTTTATGAGATATAGCATGTAATTATGAACTTTGGACTAATTCTTACAGGTGTTCCGATTTTTAAAAAAGATAATTTTATCCCACATACGTGATATAATAGCAACAAAATGTATGTCTGTATGTATATATTTAATACAGTGCATTTATAGAATTTTCGAAAGTTGTACAATATCAGTTATCAGTTTTAAAAACAGTTTATAACAAACAATATTTATCACAAATTTTTACCAATTGTAATGTAAAAGATTGAAATTAATTAAAAGTGTTAATCGAATAGCGTTTGAAAATAATAAATAATTAAATTTCACATATTAGAAAATATTGTTTTTTTTGTTGACTCTATTAAATTGATTAAAAATTTAATTGATTTTTTACGCTTCTTATAATAAATATGTAGAATATAGTTTTTATAATAAATATATAAATATTGGGAACTTTTTCGTAAAAAAAAAGTAATAAAAGAAAATTTTTTAATATAAATTAATTCTTCTCACTATTCGACATATAAAAGTCTAAATATAAGGAAGAATTAATTATTCATTTTTTAATAAAGATAATTTTCATTAAAACATAAATAATTAAGAAATAATTTATATTTGAGTCCGATATAATCTATACTTTATTCTGATATAAAAATTGAAATATTTTTCGTAAAATATTTTAATTACTAATGAAGACTATTGTACAATATTTTATATTTTCATATTTAAATAACGTCCAATTAACTGCAAAGTTTATTTTGTAATTTATTGATTTTTTTAAATTCTATTTTAACAATTACACATCACAAAAATTTATATTAAAAAATCATACAATCTTTAAAAAAGTGCAATCATTGTCTTGAACCGATTCACTTTCGATTTATTTGAATTATTATCGAGAGATAATACATTAAATTCTGTATTCTACATCTAAACAAATATACTATAATTATTTATCGTATTTGCTGCACTTACCAAACAGAATATGCGGAATACAGAAAACTGCAAATGACAACTGCACGAATTTACAGAGATAATCGCAAGGATTATATAATACGTTCTCCAATAATTCAAATTATTGAAATGTCAGAGCTGCTATTTTTTTTTATTACTAATTATTATATTTCACTAATTATTTTCTGCAAAACTATGATACGGAATAAAGTTTCGACGTTAGGTTGCGTCAAACTGCATTCTACTGTGTATCAGCTGACTTTTCTGCTTTTATATGCAGCAATTGAATTAGTTATCATCAGTGAATAAACTTCATACAGATGGCGTTGTTACAATAATACGAGTGCTTTCCAGCAAGGGCCCAATCAGATAATATTTGCTTACATTAAACAAGAATAAAACGATTCACTATGTTATACAGTCTATGTCCTTGCTGGAAAACATTCGTAATCTGGTAACCCTATCTCTAAACGTGTAACATGTAATAAAAAGAATTAATTCGAAAAATTGATAAAGTGAATAAAATTTAATACATAAAATTCGATGAAATTTGACTTCTCTTAAAAAAAGATGTCTTCCAAAAGGAGTCCTTCCAAAGGATCCATTTCCAAAGGATCCATTTCTAAAATGAATCTTAAGTTTTTAAAAAAATTTGTATTATATTCCAACAAAATTATAAAAGATTTACAAATTGATGTAATATACATTTTTTTAAATATGGATTTTCTTTTCATGAAAATACAGGTTCCTCTATCATAAAAGAAAATATGACAAAATAAGAACAATTTTTCACTTTTTTTGTTTTATTTTTCCTAATTTCTTTTCACAATTTTTTATCTATTTTTTTTATCTATTTCTTTTGTTTCTTCCAAATGAAAACATAACAAAAATTAAAAAAGAATAGCTTGTAGTAATTAAACAATTTATCTTTTCTTTTACTGTTTTTACTGTTTTTACTGTTTTTATTGTTATTTGATACAATCTTTTTTCCATATCTTTTTGTATTTATTGTTTATATATATTTTGTCCATTTTCTAATTACTACTATTCTGATAAACTGTCACCTTATCTTTATCACTGATAGAAAGACTATATATTATATATTATCCATTTTATTTTTATATCGCAAAGACGGACTATCAGTTCTGGGAATTTTTGTTTCCCTGAACTCGGAGAATTTTTTCGAGAATAGTCATCAATCTCCTGCACATTGCCTCACTGATAACAGCCTGATCTTCTAAAACCTTCATAAATCCTTTATACAGCATCTCCGCTTGTTCGTCCAACTGTATTAACATTGGTACAGTGACTTCACGCGAGTTTTTCTCCTCCTCCAGCTTCAGCATCTTGTCTTTTCTCTCGAATTCCTTATATTCATTTATCATTATTAGAATTTCCTATTTCATATTTCGTTATATTATTTATATATTTATATATAGTGTCCATATTATTTATATAAAGTCTCATCTTGATCTTTTAATATAATTATGTTCAAAACACATTATTGATTGTCAAAAAAAAATATTAAATTAAAATTTTGTTCTAAAGAAGTTACAGCTTATGATGACAATTTCATTTAAACACAATAAATATAAAATAAACTCACATTACAGATCATTACAGATGATTGGATCTGTTTGTGCACAAGATAAAAATTTAGATTAAAAAATAAAAACTTTAAAGTAAATAATTATATTTCATTTTTTAGTTCAAGTTTTTTTTATCATACTTACGTTGTATTCATAGCATCTGTGTTCATCGCCATGATTTTGAACAGCTTTAGCCAAATATCTAAGATAATCTTGTATATTCGTAAAACCTTTGAAAACATAGTATGGTCTCAAGGATAAGTAGGCTTGCATAATACCGCTGATGCCGGGTATCTTTGCTAAAACCTTCGCAATTTCGGCGACTAGCTGCTCCAAACACATATGTCCCACGTGTTCAAAGGTCTCCAGAGCTTCTTGACGTACCCAAGGATCTTCGTCTTCTAGTAAATGACTGAACAATTCAATCAAAGTAGAGGTAACGCTTTGGACACTGCAACGACCGAGATTCTCGACATTTCGTCGTAGAAAATGACAGATCTTAATCTTGCCTTGAGGCGGTAGATGGACGCATGAAGTTGTGACGGACATAAGAACCTAAAATCAAACAAACATATACATGAAATATTATATTTCAATACTCTTGTAATTTCTGCTTACCAAAAAAATACTTCTACAACAAATAATTAGATAGATAAAACGTATTTGTGTTATACCGTACAAAAGCTGTCATCATGAAGATATTTGAGACAAGTAGCGTTCAACAAAATAACAATTAAATCGGACAATAGATCCAGTTGTTTGTCCTCGCATTCGATAATCGCACTTGCAACGAAACTCCATATTTTAGTTAGAACGTTGATAACATCCCTGTTATCACTGTAATTCACCGCTGTCATGACGGACATGATCTGCATCTGAAAATCAATATAAATTTATTATAAAATTTTTTAATAAATTACAATTATATTAATAATAAAATCATATAATTATCAAATTTCTTGTAGCAAAAGCAAGCGAACAAATTTATTGATATATTTAGTATATTGTCTTACAAGCCGTTTCCAATTACAAGTAGAAGTATGTGTATGCAAATCTAAGAAAGCCTTTGGCAAATCCTCGATTTTACGCTTTAATCGTTCCGATGAAAGCGATTTAGTTTTTGCCATTAACAAATATAGGATAAAAGCATCATAATCTGTATCCAGGTTGATAAGGTTATCAAATAAAGTGGATTTCATGTCTTCGTTTAGTAAATCACACAATCTGATGATCATGTTATCTAGCATAATTGCTTCTATACTGTCATGTCGTTCTACCAAGGCGGCAGAAACTTTAATTAGATGTTTAATATGATCGACGCACAATTGTGAAGAGCCGAGTCTTAAATAAATAATTATATATAAGAAATTAGCATTAGAGTTTGATCAGTTTATTTTTCACTCAGTATTAATTATATAATATAGAAATCTATATACTGAGAAAAAAATTACTAATTTTACTAAATTTTTTTCTCAGAGTGTAGAAATCTATATATAGTACAGAAATCTGTACATAGTACAGAAATTTATTGAAGTTTGAGGATTGACTGCTTCCCTGCCAATGAAACACCAAACATCCGAGCTTAATAGGGAACTCCAAAAATTACCGGATAGTAAATGCTTCAGTAGAAGCAGTTCAAGCGCGTGAAAGCCTTCCGGAGGAATCTGACTAGCCAAACTGCAAATGGATACCACAGTCGCCTCGTAAATGCTAACGAAACGTATTCGTTCGCCAATCCCGCAAATACCTGGCAGTCGCAGATCTTCAGCGCAGATTTCTTCTTCAACTACAATCGAGAAAGAGTGAACGAATGAACAATTGAGACAATTTTACTTCATTAATTGGAACAGTAAGAGAATTAATAAAGTGCAATTAAAGCCCAAGGAGAAATAATTGTCAATTAGATATCAAATCGAAGTCTAATTGATTAATCGGTCCAATTGATGTCGAAATCATCGGATTGATGTCGATTCAACATTAAGAAGTGCGGTTATACTACAATTAACATAACATGCATAATTCGTTGTACTTTCACTCACTCTCTCTCTCTCTCTCTCTCTCTCTCTCTCTCTCTCTCTCTCTCTTTAAAACTTCAAATTTCTTAAAATTAATTTTTAAAATTATTAAAAATCTTAAAATTCTATTAAAATGTTTAAAGTTCTTCTTACAATTAGAATTAAAAAAGTTAAAATTTTTATAATTATTATTTTTCTTTTTCTTTTTCTTACTTACGGTAATCTATAAATGTGAAAGCAACATCCAAAATAGAATCTGAGCCTAAAGACCATTTACAATGGTGTTCATATGGCATACTATTCAGTTTCTTCATGATAGCAATTGTCAGTAAATGATAATTTAATCTACATACATACTGATCATGTGGAACAATTTGCTTTCCATATTCAAAATATACCTGAAACATAAAGTATCATTATATCATTTCTTGTTAAAAATCAATTTTTGCTTCTTATTATAAAAGAAAATGTGAAAATAATATATAAAATAATATATAAATGTATTTCTCTTCTTCCCCCTCTTTTTACAAAACATTTTTATCAGTTGTACAGATAGTTTCGGCAAATTTAATAACAAGAATTCTTCAATTGTTAAATACAGTACATTTACAAATTTGTCATACATTTTGTATAAATTATTTTATATTTTATGCAAATTTATGATACTATTTATAAAGAATTAGAAACGAAATTGTTTATAATAGTAGTAAAATAATTGCATTATATGATTTACCTTATTTTTTTAATGCCTCTTTGTGTGTAATTACGTACCTGTTTGAAATCGTTATGATTAAAAATGATATTTAAAAAAGATGTAGCGCTGGCCAAAATTGTTTTTTCGCTACTTTTTGTTAAGCAGCAGTATCTATAAAAGAAATAATTTCCTGAATATTATTTGTTCATAATGTTATAAAATAATATATAACTCCACGTATAATATGAATGTGTTATGTAAATAGAAAGAAATTCTTGCAATCGTTAAAGCTGATTTTTATTTCGGAAAATTGATGATTAATGATAAAATTGTCACCCGTGCATTCGTGTCAAAAGTTCTATTAAGTGTGATATCATCTCATGCGTGAAAAAGGCACCGTAAGATGATGTTAATTTCTCGAGGATTCTCAGCAAGCGCATAGCAATCATTACATTTCGTTCTGTGTTCTTATCATTCTGGTCCTGTATTGCAATGTACGTTTTTATAATTATTACTAATGTATAAAGATATAAATAATATACATATTTCGTTAATTTAATTAATAATTAATTGGTCTTTAATTAATAAATAACAATAAAAGTGTACGAATTATATAGTTCAGTTCGATGACGAAATACCTCGATGATGGAAAAAAGATAAGACGTATCCTTAGCCATTCGAATAAGATATGTCATGACGTTGTTTGAGTTGATATCATTCTGGTGAACAATGGCCAGCTTGGCGAATGCCTCGGATAACTCAACAAATGTCTTGGTATCCATTCCATTCGCAATAGAAGCGATATTACCGTAAGCATCAACCACTAAGAAATCAATACAGTCATTAAAGAGAAAAAGATTTATTAAATTAGAGATTACATAAAAATATTACAATGACATAAAGATTACAATTAAAAATAGATTCTTTGACAAATATAGGAGGAAAGAGAAGATTGATGCAGAATAGACACAAAAGACTGTAAGAAACTTGCACTTTGCACTCAGCGAGAGACTTTTTATATTTTTGAAATAAATCTCAAATAACATATTTCTAAGTAGTTTTTCGCAATTTTTGAGGTACTTAATTTGTGAATCTCTGCAAAATATATATATATTTTTTTTTCCTGTTACTGGAGGAAAATTCT